CCACCACTCTCCTGTTACTGCTGTCACCACCAAAATCTCTTGGTTCTCCCTCCCTCCAGCTTCCACAGCCTGCCCCTGCCCGTGATATGGTGGGAAGGGGAGCATGGAGCTAAGCACCTCTGGCCACTCAAGAGTTGGACAGTCCTGTTCTAGATTCCTGTATCAGATCAAAAGAGGTGGGGGTGAGATTTGCTGGGCTGAAATCAGATGTTTTCTACAAAAAACAGTGGGCTCCATGATTTTGCCAGGCTTGCTGGAAAAATAAAACTTATCAACAAGCAGAGAAAAGGGCAGAAAGCCCTGCAGCCTTGAAGCATGGGGATGGGGGGGTGCTGCTTGCAGCAGGCAGCAGGAAGGCTGCAAGCAGCTGCATCTGGGTCCCTGGAGCCCCAGCCCCACTCAGGGCACCTGTGCCTCAGGGCAGATGGTACAGAAAGGGCTGGGGCTACCCTGTCCCTGGCCCCTTTGCTGCCATCTGCCCTGAGGCACACACACAGAGTTTAATTGAATGCTTAGATGGGGGATGGCCTGAAACCGCAGCTTAATTACTTTGATTAAGCCCAGGGAAGCCATTAATCCCTATTAATAACCCAAGGGGCTGTTGGGGCCTCTCAGATAATCAGAAGCATGGAGGGGCTCTGCCGTGATCAGCCTGTGAAAATGCTGGCCGGACTTGCGATCTCCCCATGAAATTGGCTGCCTGCCTCCTTGAGTTGGGTAGATCCCTAGAAATGAGAGAGGATGCTGCATGTTAGGGCTCAGGTGCTTTGAATTTCTAAGAGGGGTCATGCATGCTACAATTCCAATTTAAGATGCATATTCGCAAAAACTTTGAAGTAGGGTTACCATATTTCCAGTATCAAACAAGAGGACCCTGGAGGGGGGAAAGGGGGTGGGGGGAAGAAAAGCGGGGAGGGGCATATGGCTGTGGGGGGAGGCAGTGATATGCCTGTGCCCTGCCTCTGCCCCTCACTCCTAAGCCACTGCCCACCTATCCCTGCCAGTGTCCCTCACTCCTGACCTGTAGCCCCCTGTCCTCCAGCCCTGCCAGTGCCCTGCACTCTGGACCTGCAGCACCCTGCCCCCTCAGCCCTGCTGCCCATGCAGCTCCCACATGTGTTCTTGTGCATGCATGCATGTGCACACACACACACACACACACAGTGTCTCTTTACCCAGGAGTGGCTTGCCAGGGCCCACGTGCCCCCCAACAGCCAATGACCTTGCCCACTGCTCCTAGCCCCAAGCATGCAAGCTGCTCATGCCCAGGAAAGCAGAGGCAGAGCAAAAAAACCCAGACATTTCCTCCCATTTCAAAAACCCTTCCGGACATGAGGACAGGGACCAAAAAAGCGGACATGTCAAGGAAAACCCGGACATACGGTAACCCTACTTTGAAGGTCAAGACTGAAGTGCATGGGCAGAGGTGTGTGTAAGGTGTCAGGGAACTGGGTGCACTGGCAAAGCTGTCTGATGTGTCTGGGACTGGATTAAAACAGAAGGGAGGGGTCAAATTCTGCAGTCTAGATTTTAATTCAGCCTTTAAAACTGATTTTAAACTCTTCTTACTTTGAGCAAAGAGAAAAATATATTGTGCAGTTAACTAAAAATTCTTTTTTTAAGAGGATGGACTGAGCTGGAACTGTGTCCACCTTCCTTTTTTTACACCTCTCCTTAGAATACACTTTGAATGACCTCACCAGGCCTAGCAATGCCCAACGTCACAGCACCTAATTATAGGTCTCTGTTCCTTGTCGCGATGCTGGTAACGTCATGGTAATTCAAAGGCTCCCTTGTATCACTCACCTTCCCATGTATCATCGAATCGGGAGCATCTCCTCAGAGGGCAGTCACGCAGCCCTGTTGCTCCCTTACTCCTCCCTATCCTACATTTTGGGACTTCTTGTTCTCTTCAACCAGCGTTTCTCATTCCACAGCAATTACACGACTGCCTGCTTTTTCTTTTTTTGTATGTGTAAAGGACCACACCCACCTGTGTCTCCTCTCTGTCTGTTACTATTCTCTCTTTCTCTTCTCATTGGACACTGTAGTGCATGCAACAAAGTCTCAAACCATGCCAACAGCACTAAATTAAAAAAATTCATACCACAGAAATTAAAGATGGAAAAGTCCTGTCAGGTTATCTAGCCCATCGTTCTGTGCCCAGCCCAGGCACTGCAGACTTGTTCCCTGCGGTACATTTTCCAGTGCTGTGTCCAGTCTGTTTTTATGTAGCCTAACCAATAGGGCATCTATCACTTGTCTTGGGGATTGTTCCAGAGTCTAATAGATTTCACCATTTGGAAACATTTACTGATTATTTCTTTCCATTCGGTATTACCTATTCACTTCTAACTTGGGCTTTTTGTAGCATACTAACCAGCCTCTCTCCTTCCTTGATAGTTACATCTTTCAGATGGTTATAAATATGTTTCATATTTCCTACATAGCCCTTTTTGAGCCAGAGTATTTAGCGCTCAACTTTCAAGCCTGCTAATTATAAGTTTTTTCTACTTCACAGGGGTGATTCTTGTGATTAATTAGCTAATCGTTGTGCAGAGGTGGGGCTTGTTGCATCACCCATTATTAAGTTTACCTCACACTTCCCATTATAAGACTCTGTTTTTAGTTTTCATTGAGCTGACAGTTTTTATGCCAAGTATCTGCCACAGCCCCTTTTTCAGCCAAAGTTTTCTTTGCTGTTTCAGAGGAAGAGGCTCCAGAAAAAGTACAGTTTTATCCATGTTAAAAAGTTCTTGCAACCTGTTCTTTGAATAGCTGTCCCCTTTCTTTAAAGATGAGTCTCAGATTTGAGCTTGGGGCAGCCTTTGGGCATTTTTACACGTGTTTCAGGGCTGGGAAGCGGGAGTGGTGCTTCAATTAGAGAAGCTCTCTGGAGCTGCTCTAATTAAAATGCCCACAGTGCACACATGTATTCAGTGTCCCATGCTGCAAAATGGTGGCAGGAGCACTTTAACTAAGCTCATCGAACAAGCTTTATTTAAAGCACCCCGATGCGATTTTGAACAACAGAGACATTGAATATACAAGACTTGGAGGCTGCTGGAGCCTGCTAATTAGTAGACTTGATTAATCGAGTCTGCTAGAATATACACAGTAATTACAGTGCATCAGAGCAGACATCCCACATGTCTACATGTACACATAATCTCTGAGAAAATCCATGCCCATTTAACAAGTTATAAACCTTTGAAAAATTTCAGTGTGCACAAGCATTGTAGGAAAGATTTTCTTTTTTTTAACAGGTAGTCACCAAAGATTCCGTCTTCACTGACCATGCTTCCTATCCACACAGCTCCTACTTCCAGATTACATGTGTACCATTCCCACAGAGAGACTGAGCATTTTCTGTCACTGGGCTACAGGAGCTCAGAAAATCTTTCTCTGCAATGGCTGCTCTGGGCTGTGGTTGAATTAGGAAGCGGAATTGACCAGGAAAACTTACCAGCAAACTTATCACCTGTCTTTTCTGTGCTATAAATGATATTCTCCCTTCTGGCACTGAGGCAACACAGAAAAAAATGTCTGATTTGTATGCAGAGGGGATAAACCCAAACCAAAGGGAAAGAAAGGAGTAGATTGGGACATAGGCAGATACAGTTCTTTGGGTAAATTTGATATATTTTATTAGACCAATTAAATAGTTTGAAAAATTGTTCTTTGCAAGCTTTTGGGCACAAACACCCTTTTTTAGGCATAGGGAGAGTTTGATGGTGTTTTGTGTTCTCCATGGTGGAATAGAAGCCAATATGCAAAATGTAGGCCTGAGAAAATACAAATGCGTGGCAGTGAGGATCAGAGGCAATGGGAAGCAATAGGTGTGAGACAGGTAGGTGGGGAAGGAAAAAGTGGGGACTGTTGACCTGGTGATAGAATGTAGCTGGTAAAATGTAGAGAGATTACCTGGGGTTACTGAATGACAGGTAGTTTATAAGGATGGTATGTCATAACTAATTGTGTGCTATTTGAGAGGACTTTCTTTTTGTACTGCAGCAGTTCTTCATGTGGTATCCGGCTGGCTTTTTCAGAAGTATGATCTATCTCTCTGGAGGTGTGTCCTTGCTGAGTGAAAGCCCTTTTGAGATTTGCAAGGTGACAATCGCAAATGTTCTCAGTGCAAATTCAGTGGTATTGGAGGGCTTGGCTGTATATTACAGTTGTCTTGGTGTGTTTAGGGTGATTGCTGGTTCTGTGTAGATATATATGCATGTTGGTCCATAGCCTTCTTGTATATGGTGGTCTGTATTTTACCATTCTGGATGTTGATCATAGTGTCTAACAAGGAAATGTTGGTGCTGGAGTATTCAAGAAATAATCTGATGGAGGGGTGATGATTATTGAATTTGTGATGGAAATCAATCATGCAGATTTTTGGTCCAAATGATGAAAATGTCATCCATATATTTTTGGTATAGCATGGATTTGATGATGCAGTTCTTGAGGAATTCTTCTTCCATGTGGCCCATAAAAAGGTTGGCATACTGTGGGGCCATTTTGGTGCCCATAGCTGCGCCCATTGTCTGGAGGAAGTGTTGGTTATTGAAAGAGAAGTTGTGTGTGAGGATGAAGTGTATAAGTTCAGTAATATTTTTAGGTCTGTACTCTGAATTGTAATCTTACTCTTGTAGACATGTAAGGCAGGCTTAGATGCCATCCTGGTGTGGGGATGTTTGTATATAAACTGGTAACATCCATGGTGGCTAGGAGGGTATTGCTGGGAAGGTGGTCTGTGTTTTTAAGTTTTTGTAGAAAGCCTGTTGTGTCTTGGATAATACTTGCTATTTGGGTGACAAGAGGTTTTAGGATGGTATTGATTAAATCTGGTATTTCCTCAGTTAGGATTCCATCATTAGATACTTTAGGTCTGCCTGGGTTCCCTTGTTTGTGGATTTTAGGGAGCATGTAAAAAGTCCCTGGGTTGGGTAGTGGAGGGAGGTGGGATCAAGTTCTGTAGTTTTTCTTGTAGTTCAGATAGAAATTATTTGATGGTGGTTTTGAGTTTTACAGTGAAAAGGGGAGTTGGATTTTCCTCTAGTTTTTCGTAGTCAGTGATCAGAAAGTTGTCTGTTGGCTTCTTTTATGTAGTCTTCACAGTTAAGAATAACTATAGCTCCTCCTTTATCTGCTGGTTTTATTAGCATTTGGCGGTTGGATCGTAGAGAGTCTATGGCCCTTCTTTTTGAGAAGGAGCGGTTGTTATGGTAGTGTTTGTGGTTGATTGTTTCATCGTTCATTCTTTCCCAGAAGCAGTCAATATAGCGGTCAAGGTTTGAATTTCATTCACTGTGAGGTGTCCAATCTGATGGGGATTTTTTTTTGTTTTTTGGGGGTTCATCTTTTCCTTGATGTTGTCAAAAGATGAAGTGTTGTTGAAAGTGGATTTGTTTTGGTTGTGGAAATAGTCCTTGAGATGGAGGCATCAGAAAAATTGATTTTTCAGCTTTGGTATGTGTGTGTGTGGAGAGATTTGAGGGTTGACTGGTTCTTTCAGTGTCATTGAGTATGTTATTGGAATGCTGTAAGGTGTTGGTGTTGTGAAGAAATGGATTGGACAAGGCAGAGTATGGAAAGAACAAAATCTGTCTTGGTAAAGAGCCAGGGAGATGGTGGTTGAGGACAAAGAGGTTGGAGTTGGCTGGCAATGAGTTCAGGAGGAGGAGTGAGAAGGAGGAGAGTCTTGAGCAGTCAGCTTGGAGGTGTTGACTTAGAAGTATATCTGGCCAAGAAGACTGAGACTGAAATGAGACACCTCATGAGTGGAGTTTGGGACTATGCTGGAACTGAGGCAAGCCAGGGGCAGGGAAGAGGCAGGACTGAATCAGACCAGCTGAAGAGGTCAAGACTGGGGAGAGAATGGGCAGAAGATTCTGAACACATTGGAACCCGCTCTCCTCCAAAGCCTGGAATAGCAGCCTCAGTTTCTGAGTTTCACCAAACTTCTGCTATAAACATATAGATGAAAGTATTTTTCTTACTGACAAAGTATTTGTCCCATCCCTCTTTAGTTCTGGCCCTTAGAGAGAATGGCAGCTGGCATCAGTATTTGTTCCAGTTGTCAAAAGTCTCTGTCAGGGGTCTAGAGGTTCCAAGCCTGTTGTGGATGTCTCTGTGATGCTGCATGATAGAGTTCCGTTTTCTCTCTTGCAACAAACCTATGAACTTTCACACAAAACAGCTGGTATTATTAAGGTTGCAGAATCAAACACTCAAGTTAGAAAATGCCAGAATTATATTTACCTGTGTAGCCTTAATTTGCCTTCCTTCTGCACATGCTTTATGAGGCAGATTTTAATTAAATGATGAGATACTATTTCCTCCCCCACAGGATTCTTGCCTTGTTCAGTGTGCAGGATGGACCTATTCTAGGAGTAAATCAGAGTTGCAAGGAGAAGGTGATTGTTGTCTATAGAACCCATGTCTGATTTGTAGCAAAGTTGGAAAGGATGAGGGATTGCAAGAAGACAAGAGGGTCCCATAGTTAAGGCAGTTAAACAATACCTTGGGGATCTGGATTCTGTCCCTGTCTCTGCCTCAGAGTTCCTATAAGATATGGATCAAGTCACTACAACCAAAATTTCACATTTGCTTTATTTTCTGGACACCTAATGTCAGGGACTGGGATCTCATCTGTAGGAATGTTGAACACTAACAGCTGCTACTAAAGCCAAAAGGAGATGTGCTTTGAACATATAGAGCACATCCAGGTGAGGCAAGAGGCACATGCAGGAACAAAATAAGGCCCAGCCAGGCAACAGAAGCAGCCCCAGGGCTGGCAGGACCCAGGGGTGTGGTGTGCGGTCTCCGCGCACCGCGCCGGGTCCTGCTGCCATGGGCCCGGCCTTGCCAGGCGGCAGAGGGGCCCTGAGAGTGGCAGGACCCAGCTGGGCCCAGCATGTGGTCTCCGCGTGCCGCAATGGATCCTGCTGCCACGGGCCTGGCCCAGCCGGGTGGCAGAGGGGCACTGCGGGCGGCAGGACCTGGCTGGGCCCAGCGTGCAGTCTCTGAGTGCCACGCCGGGTCCTGCTACCATGGGCCCGGCTTGGCCAGGCGGCAGAGAGGCCTCAGGACCCGGCTGGGCCCAGCACACGGTCCCCACGTGCCGCACCAGGTCCTGCCACCAAGGGCCCTGCCCGGCCGGGCGGCAGACAGTCCCCAGGGCCAGCAGGACCTGGCTGGGTCTAGTACACAGTCCCCGCATGCTGCGCCAGGTCCTGCCACTGTGATTCAGCCGGGCTGGGCGGCAGAGAGGCCTCACAGCCGGTAGGACCCGGCTGGGCCCAGCATACAGCCCCCGCGTGCCACACTGGGTCCTGCCTCCATGGCTCAGAGCGCCCCACTCCTGTTGCTGCTGCTAACGGTAAGTTATGGGCCCTGGGCGGGGGGGCTGTGGCCCTCCAGGGGGAGCTGTGGGGGGGAGTATTCCATGTGCTGTGTGGGAGGGCTACACCCTGTGGGGGCCAGGGGACCCACCCCTCCTGAGCAGCCCCCCCACAAGGTCCCCCACACCCACAGTCCCCCTAGCAATCGCTCCACACCTACCCACACACCAACCCACATCTCTCCTTACACCTACCCGCCTTCCCCCACACCTCTTCCCACCCACTTCCTGCAAACACCACATCCCCCCATCACACACCCATCATGTGCGAAGAAAACCAAAAGTACACAGCAACACATATAGGTATTTAGAATTTATTTTATCATGATGATAGAGACACTGGTAGGCTTCCACACTGCTTTAACATTGTAAATATACCAATAAAGCATTACCCAACTGATTGCTGTCTCTCTGTCTCTCTCTCTAGATGTGTGTGTGTGTGCATGTGTGCGCACGCGCGTGCGTGTGTGCGCGCGTAGAGCGGTTTTTTGTTTTAACTGTAAAAAAACATGGATTTTGGGGTATTTTTTAAAATGGATTTGGGATGCTGCTGCAGCAGTCCAGCTGGCACAAGGGGTAGTGTCCCCAGGTACCAAGTGGCCAGGCCCCAGAAGCTCCTGAGAGCAAGTAGCCCTGAATTGCTTGCCAGGGCAGCTTTTTGTACGGATGGGGCCAGGACGGGGTCACATATATATCTATAGAGAGAGAGAGAGAGAGGGAGAGCACAATCAGCTGGGCAGTGCTTTATTGGTATATTTACAATGTTAAAGCAGTGTGGAAGCCTACCAGTGTCTCTATCATCATGATAAAATAAATTCTAAATACCTATATGTGTTGCTGTGTACTTTTGGTTTTCTTCGCACACGATGGGTGTGTGATGGGGGAGATGGGGTATTTGCAGGAATCGGGTGGGAAGGGGGTGGGGGAAGGCGGGGTGTGTGTGTGTAGGTTTATGGGTTGGTGTGTGGGTAGGTATGGGGCGATTGCTGGGGGGACTGTGGGTGTGGGGCCCCACACGGTACATGGAATGCCCCCCCGCCGACAGGGCCCTAGCTCCCCCGTGGAGGGTCACAGCCCCTATCCCCCGCAGGGCCCGAGCCCACCCGCCTAGGGTCCCAGCTCCCCCTGGAGGGCCATAGCCTGCCTGCCCAGGATCCCAGGCACCCCACAGGGACACAGCCCCCCTGCCCAGGGTCCCAGTCACCCTGGAGGGCCCCAGCCCCCCCACCCAGGGCTCATAACTTACCTTTTAGCAGCAGCAGCGGGAGTGGGGTGCTCTGAGCCATGGAGGCAGGACCCGGCACGGCACATGGGGACCATGCGCTGGGCCCAGCCAGGTCCTGCCAGCCGTGGGGCCTCTCTGCCATCTGGCCAGGCCGAGTCATGGTGGCAGGACCCGTGTACGGGGTCCTGTACCCATGCGGGGATCGTGTACTGAACCCAGCCAGGTCCTGCTGGCCCTGGGGACTGTCTGCCGCCCGGCCAGGCAGGGCCCTTGGTGGCAGGACCTGGTGTGGCATGTGGGGACCGTGTGCTGGGCCCAGCTGGGTTCTGGGGCCTCTCTGCCGCCTGGCCGGGCCCATGGCGGCAGGGCCTGGTGCGGCACACGGAGACCACCCTCGGGGTCCCTCTGCTGACCACCCCAGCCCCCCGCAACCCAGGGTCCCAGGCACCCTGGAGAGCCATAGCCCCTCTGCCCAAGGTCCCAGCTCCCCCTGGAGGGCCCCAGCCGCCCCGCCAAGGGTCCCAGGCACGAGCACTGGAGCCCTGGTGCTGAACACCTGGCCTGGCCAGGCACACATTTAGCACCAGGGCGAGGGGCCAACCACGGAGATCCTCTGGCAGCCAGAGCATCTCCCTGGAGGACCCAGCCCAAACTTGCAGCGCAGGGAACATTTTTTTGTTCCTGCATGTGCCTCTTGCCCCGCCTCAAAGGGGTTTGAGGTGGGGCAAGAGGCACATGCATGCTCATCTGGACACACCCATACAGTACTAAATATATAGAAATACTAGGTCCTAAAGGGGCTTAAATTAGGATCTCAAAATCAGTAGATACTTTTGATTTTAATCATCTGTGTGACTGGCTACTCATTTATAAAATGGGATCAGTATAATTCTCTCACGTCATGGGCATGCCATGATGGTAAAATTAGTGTTTGTGAAGTATCCGGGTACTAGAAGTGACATACCCCGTAGCATAGCCTCTGAATAAATGTATCATTTGTTAGTGACTTGTCAAAGGTACCCCATGAAAGTAGGAATAGAATAAGGAGCAGAACTCAGGTCTTCTGAATTCTAGTTCAGGATGCCATCCAGTAAGCATGACTGCCTGGAGCTTCACTTTGAACAATGAGGTGGAAACAGATATTGAACAGCTGTTCCATAATTAATATCCTCCATCCTATACAGTGAACGAGGCAAGGTTCTTCTGGGGGAAAAAAAGTAACTCTTTTTAGATTCAAGGTACTCCTCAGAAAATATCAGCTCTTAGCTTTCTTAACTGCAGAAAAATAATAGAGCAATTCTGTTGCAAGAACTTAAAGACTACAACAGGTCAAAATGTTTTTGACACTATAGATTCCTATTTGAAATCTCTGGGTTCATCTTGCAAATCATGTGTAGGTGTTTGCATACATACGGTGTGTCCATTCAAGTGCAGACATGCGATATGTGGCGCAGGTCTGTGGCACCACACATGCAGGCATTTCCCACGCTGCTATTTCGCAATGCACAGGGGCTTTTTGCCTCCAGGAAATCCCGGGGTCAAAAATACCCACACCTAAAACACAGTTGCTGGCCCCACCCTCTCCTACCCCACCTAGGGTAGCCTGCCATGTGCCCGAGCGTGCATGGCATGAGTGTTCTCCAGGGACAAGTAGCAGCAACACAAGGTGTGGGGACATGGGGATGCACCCATAAAGTGCTTGTACTCTGTGTCACCCTTAAAAGGATATTGTGGCACCCTGGCTGAGAATCATTGATGTTGTAGGGTTGCCAACACTCCTGGATTGGCCAGGAGTCTACTGGAATCGGTATCGAAATCGGTGACTATTGAAAGTAATCTGGGAGATTGATATTGTGAATGGGTTGAACAGTAGAATTAATTACTAGAGGTGCACCAATACATCAGTCCCATATTGGATTGGCACTGATATAAGGAAAATTGACAGTATTAGCAATCAGCTTTTTTTGGCTGATGTGGCTGATAATGTTGCCAATAAATGCCCCATGCAAGTGTGCAGCCACAGCGCAGCATGCAGGAGGCCAAGAACGCAACCCATCAGCATGGAGAGCAGCCAGGTCTGGCTGGTAAGGCTGTTGCGAGAGAAGGGGCATGGTGGGAGCAGTTGGAGTCCCCAGCAGTGAGGAAGGGAGTGGAGTTCAGGGTGAGGCAGGGGCAGGCGCTGCACAACCAGGGCAGGGCATGGGACAGAGCCACAAGTGGGTTGTCTGGGGGGCGTGGGGAGGGGGTGGCAGCTCCTGCTTCTGCATGAACCCCAGGAGGACATAGTGGGCATATGTCCCCAGATCTGTGCAAAGGGCAAAAGTGGGCTGTCACTGTGGGCTGGGCCTGGATCTTCCCAGCGGGGGGAAGGGGATTGGGCTGGGGCTGCACTCAGGGCAGGCAACAGCAGCAGTGCTGGGAGGGGGGCTACAGTGAAATTTGGGGTGGCTACAGGCCCCACTATAGCTCCCTCCCCAGCACCACCACTGCCCACCCCAAACACAGTCCAGCCCAGCCCCCTCCTGAGAAGACCTCAACGCTGCCCTGGCCCCAGCCTGCAGAAGCAGCCCGCCCTCAACCCACACACAGATCTGGGGCACATGCCCCCCGTGGTTCCATGCTGTGCCCTGCCCCAGCTGTGCAGTGCCTGCCGCTGCCCCAGTCCCGCTCCCTCCCTTGCTGTGGGGGCCTCAATCTGCCCCCGCCCCCCATGCCCATTCCCTTCCCCCACAACAGACTTACCAGCTGGATGCTGCTATCCAAGCTGCCTGGCTGCATATCAACAATCAGATCCGTATCAACTGATATGGCTTGTTAAAAATCAGCCATCAGTATCAGCCCAAAAAACTCTATCAGTGCACCCCTATTAATGACACTATGTCATGTTAGAAAAAAAAATCTCTTGAAATAGCTTCAGTCAGAGTTGACAACCCTATGATGTTGTGGCAGTGCACCT